ACTATCTTCCTAAGTTGTTCACCTTTTATGTATTTTACATTTAGGTGGAACATGAGTGGCTCTAGTCATGCATACTTTTGTTACTGATTGGTTTAAAAAGTCTCCTCAATTTATTGAAAATCTAGAGAGCATGCTCAGTGAGGAGTGGTTGTTCTTTGGAAGAGGGTAACTTCTAGGATGGGATTGTGTATTATGGATTGTGAATAGACTGTGTATTATGGATTGTGTATGGATCATAAAGAGATTAGAATGAGGAGAAATTTGAGCAAAGTCCATCAGAAGGGACTGATCTGCCACCATTGTTGGCTCAGCACCAGACATTTATCATACTGTGTGGTTTATCAGCTATATGGTAAGAGCAAGTTGCCACCTCTGCACAGAGTACAACAGAGTTTGGTTGCAGTGTCTTCACTTCGTTCCATCCTCCATCTACTCATCAGCTGCACAGCACTATCAGGTTACTCCCTCTGCAGGAAATCCAACAGAGTTTGACCATGGTGTCTCCATTCTGCTCCACTCTTCGTTTATTCTCATTGTGTGCTAGGAGGGCAGATACCAAGTGAAATATGGAGAAGTGGATCCCGTACATAGCAGCCTAGCAAGGTCTTATGTCTCCAGCCTTTTCCCACTCCACAGTGTGGACTCACCATCCTGCTTTCTCTGCTCTTCTGCAGGAAAAGTCACACAGAAGAGCAGTCCCAATTGCCACAGAAAATCAGCTTATATCAAAATAGAAACACTGAGCTGAGAAATAAAAGATAATTAATATGTGAGGGTTAAGCAAAAAGGTGAAGTGACCAAAATGTAGATTAGAAAACCAAAGCACACAAAGGCCCAAGGGATATCCACTGACCTCCATCTACTGTATTAACTACAGATTCTAATAATTTTTTTTACCAAGAGATTCATCAAATGTCTGTGTGTCTTGACAGCAGGTACAACTAGATTGTGAAGAAATTCACTTGATAGCAAAAAAATACTCATCTCTTATTGCTCTCTGCTAGACATCAGAGAGAGTTTTTAGTTGGCTTTTCTTCTTACAACAACTGTATTGTACAAGTGCAGGTTTCCCTTTTGACTGCTGGCCTCTGATGATGAATTAATTTGAATAAATGCATTTTCCATTTCAAAAGAAAGTCAAACTCCTCATGCCTTCTACAGCATATACATTTTTCCATAAACTCCTCCACTTTATAATAATTTGTTATAGCACTATTTAGGCAATACACATATAAAACAGTTATGGGATATAGTTGCATATCTTATACTATTTTTGGTCTTATTTTACATATCTCTATGATGAAAAGACACAGAACACAATGCCACAAAGATTCACAAAAATATTATTATATGTGATAATTATTTTTGCATTTGTAGAATAAGGTCTTTTTATTTTCTTTCATAAAGTATCCAATTTCCTGTTATAGTTGTGAAGATTTGGTTAGTGGCAACTATCAGATGCAAGAAAATAGAAAATGTGTTATGATGCAATTTAATTTTTTTCTAGAAAAAAAAAAGCAATCCACTATGTGCCAAAACTTGTAACTATTTAGTAAACTCTCCAGAATATTTGAGATTTTGAGCAGTATTATTCTAAATATTTCTATAAATGTCTGCAATGCCACAAGAATATGTCAGCATTTAGCATCACACATTCCTCAACTCAGATCCCCAGTACCCTCTGCAGCTGCATGATTAATTTTTTTCATAACCCACAAATGATACAGATTAGCACTGATATTTTAATGTGTTAAAAACAATTCTCCCCATTCTCACAATGAGATATATTCTTGATTTTTTTTTCAGGCCATGGAGGCCTAATAGCTGTCTGTTGATTAAGGGAGTCCTTTTAGTTGTTCATTCCTCTCAAAAATAAAATTTGGAAGTGCACACTATTCAATAGTAGCTTTGGAATGTATGCAGTGTCATATCTCCTCATCTTTGAAAAGACAATACATAATTTTTATGACAGTAGCAAGATACTTATTCTGCTATTATTTTCTTGTAATTCTTCATCTAGAAGTTTTTTTTACACTATGAATTACTGACTTTGAGCTAACCTTGCTGATGGCTATATTGTGTGAGTAATGCTCTTCATCTTGATCTTATGCTCTGCTGTACATTTCTTCATGTGCAATGAATGATGTCTCTTTTAACATGAAGAATTGAAAGAATTTAAAGAAGTAACCCTATATCAGGGAGCCATAAATGGATTTGTATTTTGGTATTTTGATAAACAAAACCAGGACTAGACTAAGCATTCGTGGATGGAAAGGTTAGTAAATACCTAACATTTTATAATCCTATACTTCTACAGTGAAAATACTGACTTGGTGCAGAATTAATTTTTATAGTTTTCTGACATTCTGAGTACTCAAAACTTCTCCATTGCATTTTTTTTTTTATTGCATATAGTGCCTTCTGAACTAAATCCTTTTCGTCATGTCTTTATTATATGTTCCCCCTCTTAACTCCAATAAATGCGTGGGTGTTAAACATTAACTTTCTATTTAAAATGGAATCATTCTAAGCATCAAAGGATTGATATTGTGCTGTCAGGTACACAAAGACAAAATAATCCTCTGCATAGATAGCTCATTTCCAGCTCCTGGATGGGTTTGTTCTGAACAGATAATTGAACTTAATAAGGTAAAGCATTTTGACAGGCAGTGAAGGAAATAACATATAGATTTTTGAGTGGCATAAGTCGAATAAGCATTTTCACTGGGGAATTCTTACCTCTGTAAGTGGTGGCCTGTCTTTGGCCGTTCAACTCCATGAATTATTCATCTAAAGTTAACCAGGCTTATTTGACACCAACAAGGTAAATCATAGCCTGTGTCTTTCATACCATGACATTGAAGTTGAGTATGTTAAAGGGATCACTCATCATTTTATAGCTGTCCTCCAGTTCTTCAGTGTATCTAGGAGCTCAGCACTTGCTTATATGGAGAATTTAGTGTGTGAGGTATGGTGTTGACTTACAGATGCTTAGCCGCTCATCACCAATTCATTGTGTGTACACTAAATGAACATCAAGTGCAGGAAAGCATAACCTCTTCTCGGAAASCAGCAATGTACCTTATAAAAAGTCATTCTTAGAGTGCCTTGCAAAAGACATTGAGAAAGTCTCATTTTAGAGCGTCCAACAGGCTATTATCCCTGTCAGGAAGAGAAATTTAAAAGACCAGACTGAGCAAGGTCATTTTATTCATTACCTTTCTGATCATTATTATCAAAGAACTGGTGTTTGATGACTGTGGTCCTGCAATGGTCTCAGTGAAGACAAGTACACATATAGAATACCATATCACATATACATGATACATATTTTATACTGTGCTCATTAAATGGTGAATACCCACAGAGCATAAGCTATGCCTATGTGTGACAGCAAAAATATAAGATACTCCCAAAAAGCATACTTCACTGAAATATTTTAATTAGCTAATAGTTGTTTTATAATTATCATTCACTACAGTCCTACTTTTTCTAATGTTTTCCAGCACCATAAACATCATTGTTTCAACATTAGAAGAACCTAGCTCACACTCAATGGTAAGAAAAGAGTATTTTTAATGTAGGCAAATGTATATTGCATACATCATTAGGCAATAGCCTATGGGGATTTGGTGAAGAGGAATATATTTTAAGTGCAATAAGTGAATTCTAATTTACTCTGTAGTACTGAAGAGTTATGTAGACAAGCCCCAYATAATTTTAGAAGCAGAAACAGAAAGTCCTGGTTGTGAGCCTATATGCATCCTGTATATAGACTGCAAGAGAACTTAGCCTTTAGTAGAATTTGCAATGTTAAGGTTTACAATGAAAATAAAATAAAGCTGTCCATAGTATTACTAAAAGTTATTTCCTTTCCTGAAGCATATCTTTAATAGCCAGAGAGAAGTTTTGTTGGTTTTTTTTTTTTTTTTTTTGCCTTTTCTCTTGCTTATATTTCCAGTGAAACAGGAAATGGAGCTCTTCCCTCAGCACTAGCATTGCCTAAGGAAAGGGGAGCTGCATGTAGAAATGCAATCAGTTGGCAGCAGAGCATAGGCAGAACTGGTGTGCCTCTTGTTATTGCTGGTTCTTACCAACACCTGAGGTTCCTAACAGAAGGTACTATTTATATTCATCTAAAAATTTTCCAAACCTAAATAATTTGTTATTTCCATGATGTATTTCTGACCTTAATATTGTTCTTTCAGAATGGGAAAGGAGACAGAAGTTTATGATTTATATATAAATTCCCTTTCTTCCTGCCTAGGACAAAGCTTACAAGGTCAGAGACTTATATGATATTTTTATTAGTTGGAGAGACATACTTTCAGGTAGGAATAAATATCCTTGTGACAGCTTTTTATTTATTTATTTATTTCTCATTCTTTATTATTTTTTTGGCTTCTTTTTTGGCTTCTTTTTTGGCTTCTTTTATATGTTCCTGCAGAGTCAAGAGGGGCAAGAATTGGTGAGAAAATGAAACAGAGTTCTACTAATATGTTCTTTATTTTTTGAGATTTAAATCATCGTTCTCAAGATTTTTTAGAACCATCTGCCTGGCTGCATGAAAATCCCCTTGTCTCTCAGACACGTGTCAGTGCACAAATTCATCTTGGAGCTGAAGATGTGCCCCGAGCTTGGACCTCTGTTCTCACCAGAGTGAGGAAGGCTGAAGTGAGAATGATAGTTCAAGGTCTGAGTGTTCCTGTAAAAGCTCCAAAGCCAGCTTCTCAAGACGTGATGCTGTAAAGACCTGGCCTGTAGGCTTGGAAAGGACTTTGAACTCATTGAGGTGTAGATTCACAGCCCCTAATGAGCATTAGCTGTAATCAATCAATCAGTGATGTAATCAAGAGGATGAATTCATGAATTATTGTTACAGCCTCTAGTTCCCCTGTCTGCAGGACAAGAGTATAGACCCCACCTAGACCCAGAGCTATAGAATCAGGAAATTATTATGGTTGGAAAATATCTTCAAGACCACCAAGTCAAACCACAAGCTTATCATGACCAGGTCCTTCAGTAAATAGAATTTCTACCTGCTCCAGCTGCAGAGGGGTAGGGTGGGTATGGGTAGGTAAGTTCAGACTATGTAGGTTTAAGTGGCAAGGTATGCTGCACTTTTTATACCTGCTTTCAATTTTCATGAGAAAACACTTCTCTGCAGCACTGTGTCAGTGCTTTCTTCCAGGGTCTTGCATTGCATGTCAAGGCTTACCAGTACATCTGCTCCTTTCTGTTGTACCCTAGCAATTTGTGTAATAAGCCATTAGGTGACTCAGAATGACACCAATATCTGTGGCTTATTCTCCAAACTGTTTTAAAAAAGATTTATTAAATTTACCAAATTTGATGGGTTTTAACTCATTTATCTGTACTGTTATTTTAAAAACTTGTCCATTACTGTCCTTCTCATTAATGCATTTATTTTTATTTTAATTTAATTTCAAAATTTAGGAATTAGAAAATTTTGTACAAGCAGTTCTGGTTTCCTTAAGAAGATTTTAATAAGCACATAAATTCATGATATATTTATATCACTATAAGCTCAACTCACAACCAGTTTTAAACATAGATCTAGTCTTAATTCTGGTAAATACTTTTTTTTCCTGTTCCTATTTTTCTTGCAGTAATGTTAATCCCTTGACAGGGACATAATTACTTTGCAGGGACTGCAAGAAGGTTCACTGAATTTTTTTTGTATCACTATATTGAGCAAGTTTCATTCACCTCTTTGGTCAAACTGTCAGGGTTAATAGGTTTGTATGAAAAATGTTTCCTGAGAAACACCTGCATTATTAAAGATTATGAATAAACTAGAATGAGGGCAATTTATGTGATGAAGAATAGTAGCGCATTCTGTGAAATGAAGCCTTCCTTTTGAATGAAGACCTGCAAAGGGGGCTGAGCTGGTGAACCACAGCAAGGGCTCCTACTGAAACTTCCTGGGACTACTGGTGGAAAGCTGTGGCCTTATKAATCTCTTGTTCTTTAAAACTTCCTCAAACTGATAAGTTTGGGACAGCAGAACCTCAAATTGGCCAGCTCACTCTGACATCTGRAGAGCAGGCAGTCACACTGGCTCCTGCTTTTCTGACATCACGCATCCTGTAAAAGTCTGTGTGCGGTGAGCTTGAGAAGCAAACTCGGACCACACGACCACACACATCTTGTTCGTGACACATAAAAAAAAAACCTTAAGAAATATCCACATCACACCCTGTACAGGCAATAGAGGCTGATAAATGTCTTTGAGCAATGATGAGAAATTTTGAATCTGAAGATGTGAAGGTTGAAAGGAGGCAGCTGTCATCAGTGTGACTCCTCATTGCACAATTAGAGGTTCAGTTCTGTGAGATCTGCCTGTGATSTGTACGCTATATAAGGTCCTGGGCTGGGACATCCAAGTACATGATTCAGTTCTTGGCTCAAAGATTTCTCCTTTCCTGATGAACAAATGAGCCCGTTTTGTATGGCAGAAAACAGATATTTCTACTATTTTACCAAAGACGAGCTAAATTCTTAAAAATTAAAAAATAGGTAGACAGGTAAATGGATCTGGGACTTAGCCAGGGGGTGACTACTGATGTGGCTGTACAAATAATCCTTGAAGTTCAGTCAGACCAATTACTAAGAGTATGTTTCAGTGAGCACAGCATAGTTAAATTTCCCACTCGTTTTCCATATCATCTTACATTCATCCCATGGGAGTCAGATTAGTATAACACACTGTAATACCAGGTAGATACAAGGTAATTAAAATGTAAGTGTAATCTATGCCTACAAGTGCATGCATTGTATTCTGCGAATAAAATGTACGATGCATAGCTATAATTTCTTCATAACCTATGGAATATTTATTGTTCATAAGTGTAGAGCCCAAAGGTATATCTTCTATTAAAAAGAATATATCACTTTATATTTCCTTTTCCTAATTCTGATGTATTTATAATTGGCTGCTGTGTTATACAAGAAGCTATTTTATTTACAACATATTATCGATCAATTAACTGTAATTTAGGATGGCCCCTCTTTTTTTTTTTTTCCTTTGGCTTCTTTTTCTTCATTCCACAGTTTCTGCAGCACTGTGTTTGTGTTTAATGTGAAACATTGTTCCTGTTGCGATATATAGAACCATTCCCTATGAACCTTCAACTCTGCAACTCTTATTTCCTTCAGCTCTGCAACTCTTGCTTCATTGATCAAAATTAATTTCTATCTTCAGGATGACAGAACTGACACCATTGGAATTATGCTAGTACATAATTTCCAGTTTCCCTCTAATATCATATCAGACTTTGCAGGACTTTATAAAATTGAAGTTAAGCAGAATATTCTTTGTTTTTATCTGCTCTAAATAACTATGCTCATGAAGTTATGTTGTAATAATTATTGAATATCCATGGCAATGAGGTTTGCAAGGCTTTTACTTTTAATGAGAATCGCAAAGACAGAAACCCAAAGCCATCTTACACTGATTGTCTCAGTTATATAGTGAGCTCAGCTGAAACTGAAATYATCATCCTTACAAAGTGACCAATGAGTTCCATTAGCTCCCAGATCTTACAGGTAGCACTCATATTTGGCTCATATCTCTTCATATCTTCCCAATATAAGGATGAAGTGCTGATGCTGATAAGGAAGGCATCAGCATGTGTCTGGCTCCAGCTCTCGCTCCCTGCAGAGCAGGTGAYGCAAGAGCTAACAGAGCTGCAGACTTTGCAAGTTCCTGGTAGGCCATATGTTGCCGAGCAGTTTGTCTCAGATGTGTTTCTGCAGGCTGATGAAAACAAACTCGCCCTCGCTGCTCTGGGAAGCTCTTTGTGATGGACAGTCCCAGCAAGCCCTGTAGAAGGATCTGGATACCAGTGAATGGGAAATAGACAGCTACCCTGAGCAAGAACTGTGGAGAGTCACATAAATGGCTTATTTTACACTGGGCTCCTGCTTCTGCTGGAAACTCTGAAAATAAGCTTGAGTTATGAAGTCAGGCTCAGAATCAGATCTCAGTGACAAAATCACGGACAGGAGGAATTCCACAAAGCCAATTCTGCCAGCTCTCACCTCCTCTTTGACGGGCTTCGACAAAGCTCAAAAATATTTTGGAGGTAGGTGCTGATGAACTCCTTCTTTACTGTCTATGAATACACTGTATCTTACAGTAAAACATGTCAATGAACAAGTTTTAAATTAACTATCATTGCTGACAGAAAACAAAGGCTAATTTTCTTTAGAGTCAAAGTTTTAAGAGACAAATATGTAATGAAGTTTAGTCACTGCTTTGAATCATGAATATATATGGGAATAAAGAAATCTTATTTTTCAATGTAATTCCAATAGAGAAGCCACTTTCTACTGCCAAGTAGCTTGAGGTTATCCAATCAAGCAGCCAGAATCACTCCTGAAGCAGCATGCTTTCAAACATGTTGCACATCGAAGTTTAATTGCAAATATTCTTTATATTGCTTAACAAAACATCTTGAAATGTACAAATTTTTAAAATATTCTAAAAAGACACATTTGAACAATGCAGGAGAAAAAGAGTTGCATTTTAATGCAAAAGCATGGATCAAAAGAGATGATTGCACAGCGGGGCACCTTCTAATATGGAAACAAGCAGAAAACAATCAGAGAGGTTACATCTGCCTGCCTGAAGCCCCTTTAAGTATTAAATTTGCTCAGCAATATTATGCTTTGCTTATTGCAAGCATATGCCAAGTCTAGCTTAGAGTATAGCTGCATAGAGTATACTATAAAAAGTACTGTAGAGCATTTTCCCTTGAACTGTAGAATATCRCCAATGACCCCTTGAGCTTCCTCCCAGAAGGATTTACCTTTCATTCTCTGGGATGCATTCAGAGAGAAGAGTAATACCTGTATGCAATGACCTTCTTATGCTGCTTGAGATGGGTTGTGGTTAGAAAGATATGGAGTCCTCTTGTGCATCAAGTCAGCTGAAAATAGGATTGTACATGTCACGTTTAAAACCAAAGCTTCCAGAAGATGAGTTTAAGCATATTCTGGATACTCACCAAGGAAGGGTTTTCTCCATTCTACTCCTGTCAAAATGGAAATTTAATGAGATGGCCAGGCTGCAGGCTAAGTAGAACTGAGAAAAAAATCTATACGACCTAAGCCTGGCAAAAACTTTCAAATCATGTTATCTGTAAATGTCAGAAACAAATGAGATTTTTTTTTTTTTGATCTAAAGGATATATGAATTTTGTAGTAGTCCAGGTTTAATGTGAGTTTACACAGGTTCTCTGTGGGAAACAATAAATAACTTAAGACATTTGTAATGTGTGAATCTCTGCCTAGAATGTAGACAGTATATTATAAAAAGTGTTTAATGCATTTGTTCTAGCCCCCTGGAAATGAATTACTCATGGATTTGACAGGTGCCAAAGAATAGTCAGCCTCTGTTTACACATAATTTTTGTGTAATACATGTGTATATATGTAATTTTTGTGTACAGTGTGCTGTGGGAAAAAAAAAATCCAGAAGGTGCAAGGTAGTATATTTAAGCAAAACCAGTGACTGGATCCTTTGCACTGTGTCCAGTGGCTGAAGATGAAACAAGCACTAGACATTTACTCTAGATAAACTTTCAACATTTAGGCTAACTGGTTCCTTGCAGTTCAAGTTCAGAAGAATTTCAACAGTCTTCAGGAGAGCACTTTTACCAGGAATGTTTAATTTTCCTCTGTTGTTCAGGCACTAAATTTAAAGCCCAACAGAAATCAGGTACCTAGTTATTTAAGTAGGAGATTGAACACATATTCTGGATTCTGAAACAAATAAACTAGCAACCCTTCTTTCACCTAAATATAAAATGTGCCTTAAAGAATAAAGCCTCTAAAAGTTT